GGACGAATAGTTTGCTGTAGGGAGCTGAAATTTTCAAAGTAATAATATTTCATCAATATATGTTTTTAAGAAAAATTCCAGCCCTCTATCACTCTCGAGTCAGCAGATATAAAGTACCAAAGTTGGCCGAATTAGTGACTTTTTCCTTAAATAAGGAACTCCATAGAATACCAATGACTCAATCGTTGAACCTGAAATATTTTCTGTGTGCAGATACTATTGGTTTATCAATCCACTGAAAATTTCAGCTCAATTGGTTGAGTTGTTGTTGAGATATAGGATATCCAAAATGGCCTTTGGTTAAAGTGTGATTTTATAGTGCTCTTCGTAAAAATTCGATAAAAAATCGAGAGTTCAATATTGTTTAAATCGGCTTTCGCCAAAATTCATCAAACTCTTGCCTCTATCACATATGTTAAAATGAACCGAATCAGAGGATATCGATTGAGCAGGCCCTATAACAATCAGTCATGGCTTATGTGGACTGGCTCATAGGTACTCTGAATACTTCTTTACTAAATCATACATCTTCAAGAAACGATTTCTACAACGAGATACCATTCTGTTCAGTGTTGTTTCTCATGATAAACGTAAGATCAAAGGGAGAACAGTGCAGTAATTAAAAATGTCATTAGTTTTGCTTGAGCCGCTGGTCAGTAGTAAATCTAAGCATTTTGAAGAGATTTCTCAAAGGTTGTCATGGTGAATGTTGTCTTTCAGAAGCAAAAATGAATGAAATACTCTTGAATAGTTTATCTCCAGACAAAATGGAAAGAGCACTCACTTTGCCAACATTTTCTTGCTGAACGTTCGCTTTATCTGCCTTACAGATAAAAGAAATATACATTATATTAAAAAAACAACATCACTAAAAATCGAAAATAGCATCGATTGAGCTGAGCCACTAGAATTAGATAGAGTTGAAAATGAGGAATCGAATGGCAAGATTTTAAAATTTTTTTATCGGAATTTGCAAGCAGGAGTGTCAAAATTTACTACTTATTGAGATTTTTGCTTCTTCTCCACTGGAACGTTCTCTTTACCAGCATTTTTTGCACTAAGCGTTCGCATTACCAACATGACAGATAAAGCGAACGTTTCAGATATGTCATTTTATACTGCTAATTACTCAAGTATTAGACTAGCTTCAATTTTTTTTGTATGAGTAGATGCAGAAATCAATTCTCTTTCTTGTTATATGAAAACAAATATTTTAGTCTTTGAAATAACCCAGGTATAGGCGATGAAAAACAGACACTTCTAAAAAGCGTTCGCTTTACAAAAATTGACTCTACCATTTAACCAAGCGATGAAAAATTGTACGGATGGCGTAGTCTACCGATATCCATGGGTAGGCATTATTTGATCATGTTTATTGCATTTTTCCTACTGAAATCAGAAGGAAAGCAATTCAACACCGAACGTTGTTATTATTTTCTGGAGTTTTCCGATGTGTAAAAAAGTTATAGCAATGCAACCCAAGACGGTGAATCTTCGTTCCTTTTATTCAGCCTTTTTATTGACTTATCGCTCTAACCATCATTCAAACTGATGTCCGCTTTTGTTATTTAAGCAGTTTCCGTTGAAAAAATCAACATTAATTGTTGTTAACCGATGACAGTCTGTGTTGAATTGTGTCTTTAAATCGTCCTTAAACATCATTTAGAATTGAAACATAATCAAACTGAGCCTAAGATCGCCCCTCTAACCAAATCGCTTCGTATTTACCGAGGGAATTATGTAAAGAGGTGCGTGATTGACCATTGAAAACTACAAACCTGATGATGAGTTCATCTGGTAGAGATACGAGTTACAATTCGTGTTTTTCTTTGTCGAGAACTTGCATCAATTCAGATCATAAAGAGTAATTGTTTATCTTGTTTGATCTTATTTTAACAAAAATATTTAAAAACTAAAAGACGATAAAAGTATGAGAACATTCGCAAGATGTAAGTTTTATTGCATTGTAAAAATTAAATATCAGAAAGCAGTTATTAGTAACTTTAATCTTTTGAGTTATTGAAACTTTTCGTTTCCAGATATATGAGAAGTCTGTTTATTTATACGCACATATGCGGATATTGTGTATTCGAACATGAATCCCACTTTGAACAACAGTCCAATGTAGTTGTACATGGTCCCGCATGTTGACTGCAGCATATTTCACCATCACCAGCAGGATTTGGTTTCGAAGATCGTGAGCAACATTCGAATTGATCTTTAGTCGTTTGACCTGCCAATTGACAATATTTCTTAGTAGACTATCCACATTCTAATCCATTACAACAAACATCGTTTGATTGATCACAAGTTATATTCACTGGTTTGCATGGAGGACCGCATATGCCACCACAATCGTTAGTATTTGGTATCCATTGTAGACTGCAACATTCAGATGGAGTTAGAGCTGTGAATCCTGCCAATCGACAACATTTCTTATTAGATTGATTGCATTCTAATCCATTACAACAAACATCGTTTCGGTCATCGCACGCTGCATTGACTGGTTGGCATGAAGAACTGCATATGCCACCACAACCGTTAGCATTTGGTATCCATTGTAGGCTACAACATTCAGATGGAGTTAGAGTCGTGTATCCTGCCAATCGACAACATTTCTTAGTAGATTGATCACATTGCAATCCATTACAACAAACATTGTTTGACTTATTGCAAGCTGCATTCACTGGTTTGCACGGAGTAATGCATTTTTCATGACATGTACCACTACAACATTCTTTCGCTGATTTACACATCGAATTGTCTGTTTTGCAAATCACTGGTATTGGTAGATCTTGAGTTGTATTAACTACTATAACGAACAATAAAATAGCAACGATAATAGAAATCAATTTTGTCATATTCGATGCATTCTAGAGAGGTGAACAACAAAAAAAACATAATTATGAAATGATACTAATGCTAAATGTTGCTTACAGGCTTTATTTATTCGTATCGTTTATGTGTACATTTGCTTCATCCAGTTCTACGTGCTATTATTTATATAGCTGTGATCGACAAGAGAGAAAGACAGAACGGAATAAAAAACTGGTATATTTTTGTCGTTCGTTCTTCATTTTCGTATTTCACCTGGCAATTAGTATGCGTATGAGATGCACTCCCATAAATTGATAAATTAGGAAGAAGAATATGACGTAAATTGTGCGTCATGTTTTTCTTCTTCTCTTCAGTTTGATGCACGCTTACTAGATAATTCATAAAACTATTTTATGTCATGAATTTGTCGATTTTATTTCTTGTTGATGCAGTGCACCTTGTTTTAAACAGCATCACAAAAAGCATGACAAAGGTGATGTCATGATTCTGCGCATACCTCATCTACTAAATGCTAAAATTAGATAAATCGTATCATGATTGCAATGATCAACGTCACGGATAATATTATGTATTGACCATTCAATGATTGCAGGATAAGTCGATCATGTTTCAAGGCATGACTATTTCACACTCCATTTTAACTTTCTCTCACTCACATTTATGCTCATCAAAGCCCTAGTCTTATTTCTTGAGGAATCGTGTTTTTTGGATTCTGACCATCTTTGTTGTCATGATCTTTTTTATATTTCGTCAGGACTTCATTTGGGATTTTTCAAGAATGAGAATATAGGATTTTGTCATGATTTCGTTTCTATCCTAATCGGAATCAGTATTTCGAATGAGATTTTGAAACACTGTGTAATCGCGCACTCTGTTTATAGGGTGTGGGTGTGGGGTGTGGGTGGGTGTGGGTGTGGGGTGTGGGTGGGTGTGAGTGTGGGTGGGTGGGGTGTGGGGTGTGGGTGTGGATGGGTGTGGGCGTGGGTGGGTGTGGGTGTGGGTGGGTGGGGTGTGGGTGTGGGTGGGTGGGGTGTGGGTGTGGGTGTGGGGTGGGTGTGGGTGTCGGTGTGGGTGTGGGTGGGTGTGGGAGGGTGTGGGTGGAGGTGTGCATGTTCATCTTCCCATTTCCACAACCACACCGACACCCAACACTCACACCCACACCCACACCCACTCCCACACTCACACCCACACCCAGCCACATCCACGCCCACACCATCCACACCCATACCCACACCCACACGCACCCACACCCACCCACACCCACACCCACGCCCAGCCACCCACACCCACACCAACATCCATACGCACACCCCCACCCACACCCACCCACACCCACACCCACACCGACACCCATACCCACACCCCACGCCCACACCCACCCATACCCACACCCACACACCCCATAATCGATATGCATTGAATCTCTTCTTCGTATCCAAATCTGATTTACGTATCATGTTAAGTGTTATTGATCCCAAAAATGTCATCACATTAACACTGTTGAACAACCGGATCGGACCTGATCCATCTGAATTATTCTTTTCCGTATTCCGTATCAATCAATTTACTCGCCTACATACATTAAGTCTCCATAGTAGTATTCATCACTTATATCTATTTGAAAATCTTCCCATGAAATTATCTCTAAGATCACTGACAATCATTGATGACGATCTTGGCTACCATGACGGTGATCAATTCGCAGAACCATTATCAACATTTTTATCAAGACATGTTGTCCGAAAGCTCGAACTAAATATACAATGTTTGTCATATTGTTTAGACAAAGCTCTTGAAAATAGAATACAATGGCCTGTACAATGTCCAATAGAATATTTGACAGTTCCTTCTATTACCTTGAATACATTTCACATTATATTTAGCTATTTACCTAATTTGCGAACACTTGTGGTAAAAAGCAATTTAGATGTTTCATTCTATTTGGCTGATAATACACCGTCAGACATCAAACAATCAATGATTGTAACTTCTCTCTCATTATATGGAATTTGTGGAATGCATATGAACAAAATAGAATCATTTCTTTTACTTGTACCTAAGCTAACTCATTTTCGACTAGAAAGTGGATCCTTTTTACATGATTCTTTATGTAATGGTTCTCGGTGGGAAGAATTCATTCGAACAAAACTACCTTTGTTGTGTAAGTTCGAGTTTTCCTTCCATTGTTCTAAATTTCAAGAACCTAACCATACGATTGTGGAATCATTGATCGCATCATTCAAAACACCATTCTGGGTTGATATTAAGCGCTGGATTGTTCGATACGCAGTCCAATACAATGATGACATTGATATGTGGGAGTTGCACCTTCATTCGATACCTATATTCCAGAATCATTTTAAACCTTATCATCACGGTTATAAAATTGTCTACTCGACAACGAATACCTTTGATAACAATTTTGAAACCATCGCCAACATTCATCAATTAGCGTTACATTTGAGTCAAAAGATGAATGATACTACTGCTGAAAACGTGAGTACTACTTTTCTTTTTCCGAAGTCAGTAATTTCATTTCGGATGAATAGTTTTTCTGAGAAAACTCAAAAAAAAAAAACTTTTTAGTCGAGTCAAATTTTGAATTTTCTAAAAGTGAATTGATTGTTTTTATATTGATTAAAATCATAGACAAAACACTTTTGTCCAAACACATATCACTCGTTACTGTTTTTCTATGAAGTGGTGCAATTTTGACGATAGTTAAATCTTGATTTATGTCAGACTCAGATGTGTTTATCAATGTTTCCCTTTCTTTCACATGTTTTACTTGCCCAAGACGAAATTTTTTTTATTTAAGTTGAATACTATTTAAACATGACATTTCCTAAATTTGCCTTTCTACTCAAATAAAACAGTCTATACACGTATTAACCTGAAAAAAGAAAAATTTTTCTAACCTGTAAAATGATGGAGATATAAGCTTCGATACTTTTCCAGGAACTGTTGAACCACCCGTTGTTATCCTTTAATATCTTATCGAAATGACACCTACAGTTTAGCGCTCGATTTCGTGAACATTTAACGTATTACCTTTATTTTTAGATACAGTCCAGACAAAATTATTTATTTCCGCATGTTACAGAACTTAATCTGATGATTTATAAACACGGGCCGGTCGACATAGTTGAATATCTTCAAGCAACCGTCAATCTATCGAATCTTGAAACACTCGAATTGGATTTTTCTTATGAATGTAAGTTCAAAACAAGTTTGGATGTGGATATGAATACTCTGTTCAAACATGCCTGCAATCTTCGCTCGCTTATAATTAATTGTTATGGAACTGAGAGGATGAAACTAATAACTTTCAATGCTATCTGTATAAAATTGCCTCGACACATAAGATATCTCAGTGCTGATATCACGTATGTGAATGATGCTAAAATACTACTGCAGCACGCTGAACATTTATCAAGAGTCACATTACAATGGGTACCTTATGGTAGTAACTTCATGCAGGACATCACTACATGGCTTTCGCAAATGGAAAGAGATGTATGACATGAGATGGAGCAGGATGACTACTCATATTGGGCGAAACGTGAAATGCCAGAAGAAATACATTGTTATCCGGTACACTTGTGGCTTGGAAAGAGATTTGATCTCGAAGTTCGTATCATATCAGTATTTCTTATACATGTGTCCCGTTATCATTAATACCCTCTGAAATCGTGTTGTGATCAAGATCAGTTTTTTTTCTCTGAAATGAAGATAGAGATTTTCTGTCAGTAAATCGACAACAGTGTTAGAAAAAGTATGCGTTTATTAGGGTATGGGTATGAGTGTGGATGCTGTTCATATTTATACATCCACACCCTCAAGAAAATCTTCTAGAATTCGATGAAACCTTCCAGACAATACTATAGAATCTGTTGGTTTTTGTTCGCTCATAACGACAATGAATAAAGTATGATTTCTCTTTATCACACTAGTTTTGATTCTGTTTTTGTTTACACGTTTTTTTTCTGACTTTTTGCCGTAGACTGAGATGAATGCGTCATCAATTCTCAATCATAGAAACGAAATTCATAAACATAATTTTAATAATGCTTTTTTGCATTTTTCATTCTTGTTTATTTTATTCTGAAGTTCTTTTCCAACATAGCAAAAAAGTCAGTATGTGTTGGAAGAAGAAAATGTGAAGAACAACCAACTTGAAGCTAAACTGCAAGAAAAAAAATTCTCATTTATTATTTGTTAATTTCGTTTCATGAGGATGATTTGATCGTCGCATAATAATGAGTGACTCAGTGTCATGCTTCAAATAATATCTAAAGAAAATTATTTTATTTTTATTGCTATATAAATAGGTATATTTATTCGATTAATGTGGATAAGTAACTCAATCTTTTGTTAAAATTAGTGTTTTTGTGGAAGTCATGTGTATTTTCGAAGGAAATAGTTAACATAAGTCTTGTGTTGGACATTTCGTAGCTTCCTTTCTCTTCACCTTCCTTATTATAGGTACGTAGGAACGGATGCAACCATTACATACATTTCTCATTAAAGGCAGTCCCTATTACAGACATCAATAAGACCAAGTAAGTCGTAAGTATTTCCAATTATTTTATCATTCAATGAGAATGGTGTAAGTATTAATTACATATAATGTTCAGCCTTGTCATACTTCACCCATTTTCAAACAATTACATATATCGGAATCCAATACAGTTTCCACATATAAATGACCCAATGTTGAATCACATATTATTGGTCATGTACAAAGCTACTATAAATTAATTGTTTTTCATTAAATTAAATTCAAAAGTTGCATGTTGCAGTGAATCACATAGACTTCAACGGTAAATCGGCTAGGATGCGAATTAGAATTGTGGTCTCTTTGTATATACAATGAATATTGTGTATACAATCATAAAGACAAAGAAGGCCAAAA